TTTTAATTAACACTTACAATTTATATCTTTTTTGCTGGAAATTTGTGTTAATAATAAGATAGTGGCATGTATATAATATGATAGTGGTGTTGGTGGTAGATAGTGGCATGTATAGAATATCTGATAGTGGTGTTGGTGGTAGATAGTGGCATGTATAGAATATGTGATAGTGGTGTTGGTGGTAGATAGTGGCATGTATAGAATATCTGATAGTGGTGTTGGTGGTAGATAGTGGCATGTATAGAATATCTGATAGTGGTGTTGGTGGTAGATAGTGGCATGTATAGAATATCTGATAGTGGTGTTGGTGGTAGATAGTGGCATGTATAGAATATGTGATAGTGGTGTTGGTGGTAGATAGTGGCATGTATAGAATATCTGATAGTGGTGTTGGTGGTAGATAGTGGCATGTATAGAATATCTGATAGTGGTGTTGGTGGTAGATAGTGGCATGTATAGAATATCTGATAGTGGTGTTGGTGGTAGATAGTGGCATGTATAGAATATCTGATAGTGGTGTTGGTGGTAGATAGTGGCATGTATAGAATATCTGATAGTGGTGTTGGTGGTAGATAGTGGCATGTATAGAATATCTGATAGTGGTGTTGGTGGTAGATAGTGGCATGTATAGAATATCTGATAGTGGTGTTGGTGGTAGATAGTGGCATGTATAGAATATCTGATAGTGGTGTTGGTGGTAGATAGTGGCATGTATAGAATATCTGATAGTGGTGTTGGTGGTAGATAGTGGCATGTATAGAATATCTGATAGTGGTGTTGGTGGTAGATAGTGGCATGTATAGAATATCTGATAGTGGTGTTGGTGGTAGATAGTGGCATGTATAGAATATCTGATAGTGGTGTTGGTGGTAGATAGTGGCATGTATAGAATATCTGATAGTGGTGTTGGTGGTAGATAGTGGCATGTATAGAATATCTGATAGTGGTGTTGGTGGTAGATAGTGGCATGTATAGAATATCTGATAGTGGTGTTGGTGGTAGATAGTGGCATGTATAGAATATGTGATAGTGGTGTTGGTGGTAGATAGTGGCATGTATAGAATATGTTAGTGGTAGATAGTGGTAATATATAATATGTAAGTGGCATATAATGGGTTATAATGATGTTTGTAATATCTCCTATATAAGGAGTGTCATTTGGTCTTGTAAGATAAGAAGTTTTGAATATAACAAAAATATATTCCTTCTTCCTCATATTTTCGGAGTTCTTCTTCCTCATATTTTCTAAGTTGGTATCAGAGCAACAAAAAACACAGCAGCCCTAAAACCGTCATAGCCATGTCGGAAGTCACGTCCGAAACCACTTCAACCCCTGCCGCTGCCATTCCGGTGAAAACATCCAACTCTCACTCTGTCCAAATCACCACCATCCGCCTAAATGGTGATAATTTTCTCCGCTGGTCACAATCTGTCCGGATGTATATCCGTGGGCAAGGAAAGATCGGTTACATCACTGGAGACAAGAAGGCTCATGCTGTTAATGATCCGCTGTTCGACAATTGGGACGCTGAAAACTCCATGGTTATGACATGGTTGGTCAATTCCATGGAGGAGGATATAAGCTCTAATTACATGTGCTATACTACTGCACAAGAATTGTGGGATAATGTTAGTCAGATATATTCTGACCTAGGAAATCAATCTCAAGTTTTCGAATTAACTTTGAAGTTGGGAGAAATTCGTCAAGGAGATGATTCCGTCACCAAATATTTCAATTCGTTGAAAAGGTTGTGGCAGGATCTTGACATCTTCAACACATACGAATGGAAATCGGTTGACGACTGCAACCACCACAAGAAAACTGTGGAAGACAGCCGTATTTACAAGTTTCTTGCCGGCCTCAACATTGAGTTCGATGAAGTGCGAGGAAGAATTATTGGCAGACCTCCTCTCCCATCCATTGGCGAAGTATTTGCCGAAGTCAGAAGGGAAGAGAACCGAAGGAGCGTCATGCTTAAGAAAAAAGGTACTGGTGAATCAATTGAAATTTCTGCTTTAATTAGCGATGCTGCGGCCAACAAGGCTGCAAATTACCAGCGCAGGTTTGATGATAAGCCACGGGTCTGGTGTGATTTTTGCAACAAGCCTCGCCATACACGCGAAACGTGTTGGAAGATCCATGGCAAACCTATCAACTGGAAAAGAAGCAAACAAGGAGAGAAGAATCGTGGCTTTCCCACCGCTAATGAAGCCGATTCAGGTCCACTGGATGGTGGTGTCATAACGTTGTAGAGGACACTGGATGGTTGTGTCAGACCGATGTAGAAGACAGTTTATGGGGTCATGTCGGACCGTTGTAGTGGTGGTAGATAGTGGCATGTATATAATATGATAGTGGTGTTGGTGGTAGATAGTGGCATGTATATAATATGATAGTGGTGTTGGTGGTAGATAGTGGCATGTATATAATATGATAGTGGTAGATAGTGGTAATATATAATATGTAAGTGGCATATAATGGGTTATGATGATGTTTGTAATATCTCCTATATAAGGAGTGTCATTTGGTCTGGTAAAATAAGAAGTTTTGAATATAACAGAAATATATTCCTTCTTCCTCATATTTTCGGAGTTCTTCTTCTTCATATTTTCTAAGTTAACATTGCATTGGTGGTTCACGTTCACTCAAGACATGTATGACAGAGTTATCACTTTTTATTAGCTTGGTATCACTGGGATGAGAAACAAACAAGGTTTAATTTCTTTTAGTCGCAATGAAACGTTTCCATCAGGTGGTTTTTTTCAGCTTAGTTGGCATGGTTTCATTAGCTAACAAATATTCAAACTTTACAACTCAGAAGTCAGATAATGACTCTCATATCTCACTGTCACATATGAAAACAATTGTAAAAGAAACTTAAACAGTAAGGCAAGTCACATACCTGTAAGTATCGTGCAACTGAAAGTATCATAAACTAGCATACACCCCTCAAGCCTATGAAGTGAGCTTTGAAAGTGATTAAGTTCAGCTCATTAAAATTGACAAGCTATGTTCTTTTGAACAAGCACGGTTCAGCTGAGGGCCAACAAAGCAGCTCAAACAAGATCATGACAAGCCAAGTACAAAATGAAGCCTGAGTCGCTTCGCTTGATTTACCACTCTACATATTGTTAACATTGTAGGTGAACTGGCAATTTAACTTTGAGGATGTGAAGTATATAGGTCTCATTATATTGAGTTAATGACAACTATAACCCAATTTCTTGTATTCATACAGAACTTTTCATCATATACATCTTACATTGGCTGATCTTGAATCAAGACCATCAGAAACTTCCTTTAAGCACAAAGTACTTAGTAACATGCATAATTGCCCACTTAGAATAACATACTTCATTTTTAGGAAGAGTTGCAACTTCTATTTTTCTAACTTGTAAGTTGGACTTGTAACTATTAGATCGTTACTAGTCCCAAAAGCATAAGTTGTTAGGAAATGCACCCAACAATGTGTATAAGGTTAACACTATCCCCATCGAGTGACCCCGTCACGCACATGGAGAGACAAACAGACTCTGAGGACAAGGTGCATGAAAACAGACAGAACAGAGTGCACATGACAGACAAAACGGGAGTGACAAGACTTGAAACCTGGATCTCCTGAAATTAAAGCTCTAATACCACGTTAGATCACTACTAGTCCCAAAGGCTTAAGCTCTTATGAAAGGGGCCTGACAATGCAAATCACGCTCTCCAACTCCTTACACGTTCTTGCTTGATGAAACACTTAATTGTTTGATAAAACATTAAGAAGAGAGAATTAATGCAGCTGCTTGGTTCAAACTATCAAAAATAATGTATTACACATGAAATATATGCTCAGCAGATTCTCAGAATCTTCCTGTAGATACCAGGTAAATGGAATTATAACCTGTGCAAGATACCGCAGTCTCCTGAGGCATATGATTGATTCCCCTAGCCCACCATCCTACATAGTAATAGAATAGTAAGCAGTAAGAATAAGAGAAAAGAACTTTAGCAGTAAAAAATTCAGAGTCTAGTTACATGGCGGAGTAAAAAACAGAATGTGGTAGCTAGAAGTAGTGCAGAAGCTGAGTTCAGAGCTGTTGCCCATGGAATCTGTGAAGTAATGTGGATTAAAAGAATTCTTGAAGAATTAAAGCTTTCTCACCCGACACCTATGAAGGTCTATTGTGACAACAAAGCAGCTATATCTATAGCTCATAATCCAGTTCTACATGATCGCACAAAACATATAGAAGTGGATAAACATTTCATCAAGGAGAAAATCAATGCTGGCATAATCTGTATGACCTACCTTCCAACTGGTGAACAATTAGCTGATGTGCTAACGAAGGGACTACACAAGAAGCAATTTGATAAGCTGACTAGCAAGCTGGCTATGGAAGATATCTTCAAACCAGCTTGAGGGGGAGTGTTGGAAATTTGTGTTAATGTATATAATAAGATGGTGGCATGTATATAATATGATAGTGGTGTTGGTGAAGGATAGTGGCATGTATAGAATATGATTGTGGTGTTGGTGGTAGATAGTGGCATGTATATAATATGATAGTGGTAGATAGTGGTAATATATAATATGTAAGTGGCATATAATGGGTTATAATGATGTTTGTAATATCTCCTATATAAGGAGTGTCATTTGGTCTTGTAAAATAAGAAGTTTTGAATATAATAGAAATATATTCCTTCTTCCTCATATTTTCGGAGTTCTTCTTCCTCATATTTTCTAAGTTATCCAAATATTGCAAGAATGTTTCCAAATTAAACATGGAGATTTTCAAACTGAAATGTAATATAGTTTAAATAGTTAATAGTAGTAGAAGTTTGATTCATAACCAAATCACAAGAATACTAGAAATCCTCAGAGACTAAACAATTATTTAAAATAAGAAAGCAATGATAAAAAGCAGGCATAGAACTTAAAGGCAATACAAATTCTAATTGGCATAACATGAGAGAGATTTGTGGAGAGATAGTAAACTACAACTTGACATACTGTTACATCAGGTACACCAATGATATCCATATTCCATTGGTAGTGCTCACGACGCCGCCCCCTAGTCATTCTCTCATATCGCCAGCACTGTCCAACAGCAAACCATTTTAATGGGAGGGATACAGATTTTCTGGACAGGAAAAAAATGGAGATCAATTCTGGCATCTATACAAGGATAAAAGTGAAAAATAACAACAAATAAATTGATAGCATATTACTTGCCCCAAAAAAATCAATAACTAGCATATCAATAAGTTTTGCCAATGTAACGTCTAGATTAGCCAAGATCAAAAAATAAATAACTCCTTTTTCACAAGTATTTTACCAAATAATTTTGAAAGAATAATAAATATTCAAAAGAAAGACTATACATTGTTCCCAAAAAATGGAAAAAGAAAAAAAAGGCCACAAAATTCACAATATTAGAGTTTTACCCTTTCTGTATCACAAGCCTTGCCAGAGAAGGAGTAAGTTCAGGCCTCAATGCAACTCGACGATTTCCTCGATCCTCAAAACAGTAAAGCTGCACAAAAAATGAGGAAAAAAAATCCTATCGTATCACAAAAACGTTTTCCAAAACTAAATCCATTTCAATACACTTATTTTCCAAACTATCTTCATAGCAATTTCCTTCTTTTTTGGGTACTATTTTTTATACAGGGAGTTGCCTTAGTTCAATGAAGTAATAGCATTTAGAATTTCAATTAATGGTATTTAGAAAGGGAAGTTGGTGGTTAAAAAGTTGGATCAAGGAAAAAATCCAAGAATAAATCCTTAAGAAGGTTTATGTTTGATTCAGACCAGATATGAAGAAAAGCCCAGCAGTTCAGAATTAAATGGGAACCCAGGTTTGATCAAGGCTAAGTCTATTGAGGGGGGTGATAGCTGCAATCAAGTTAGGTTGCTTGGATCAGCTGTGGATTGGAATCAAGTTAGGTTACTTGGCCTTACCTCGTATGTAAATTGGGAAAACCAATCACTTTGTTTGTTTTTAGTTTTAGAATTCACTTTTCAAAAAATAATACTTCTTCGTTTTCTGTATTTTTTTTATTTTCACTGAATTTTTTTAAAATTTTAAGCAATTTTTTTAATTTTTAGACACACCTAACATAAATACACTTAAAAAGTATAATATTTGTGAAAAAAAATCTTTAAAAAATTCACCAAATACCAAAAATACAAAAAATACAAAAATTCTGTACATTTTTCATATTTTTGTGTATTTATTAATTTTTTAAAATATTTTACTATTTAGATACATCTAAGTATAGTGCATCTAAAGAAGTTTAAAAAAAATAAAAATAAAATAAAAAATTTGCTTAAAATTTAAAAAATATTCACTAAAGACAAAAAAACATGAAAAACAAAAAACTCAATTTCCAAAAAACTGAAACCAAACACACTGAATAGATTTAAGTTTATGGCGCAGAAACTGACCTGATGACAAAATAAGGGTTAGAACTAGACTTAATGACTTTGAAATCACATAAAACCAATTGGGTTTTAAAATAGACTAATTAAGAATGAAATTTAATTAAATTCAGTGTATAGTGAGCTTCAATTTTTTATCTTGGCCAGCAGAACAGGAAAATCCACCCAGATTTGTGCCATAGGCTTGGAGTGACATTTAATTTAGTTTAGACCTCAAACCATGTCTAACTTGACTCGGGACCTTGTATAATGTGAACTTAGGTATCATTGAAAGGTTCTGGTAAGTTGGGTTAGGCTGTGTGAGTTCACGCTTTAGTTTGGGGTTGCTTTGCTTTATAACCTTTCATAATGACTTTTGGGCTTGTAGTGATGTAATCTTTTATTGGGCTTGTAGTGATGTAATCTTTTATACTTGGTTTAGGGAGCTAATTAGATTTCCTTGTTCTTTGTGGGGCTTGTACCATCGTTGTGTCAGATGATTAGAACATGCTATCATCTTTCAAAAACATCCCACTCCCCAGGCTTTGTTACGAATGCAAACACATTTTAAATGCTTAGAGAAATAAAGTCAGTTGGAACTATAAATCACATAATATCTGTGACTAATGAAACTCTTGGCATATAATGGTTTGAACAATAGTTTTGCTATGATTTTTTGTTTGATATCACTATTGGTATGCATGATCATATTTGAACCATATGAAAGTCCAGGTAATAGTTTCAACCACCGAGGCAAGATCATCATGACTCTGGCAGCTAAGGAATTTTCACACTGTGAAAGCTTTAGTTCTCAACAACAGAGGGAACAGGGATGGTGCGCCAGCGGACTTGACACCAGATCTACTTCGGGAAAAGGCTCGGGTGCTAACCTAAGGTTGACATGACTCTAAGCTCGATGATTGGATCTACTCCACTTGATTTGTTGCCCACAGTCATTCATATATGTGGTTTTCAGATATTGGTTATGATGTTGATTATCTTTGCGATATCTATGGCCTAAGGAGCATTGACACACAGACACACGACATGGAAGTTTTTAAGTTTTAAAAAAATGTAGGACACAACACGTGAGTGCACGCACAGAATATATAATTTTATATCTTTATTATAAAGCATTTACAAGGATAAAAAAATTATTATGTGTCATATATATGAATATTTAATTCGAAAATAATAATTTTTAAAGTCTAAATGAAGAGAATAGATATAAATTTATGTTGTTTTTCTTTTATCATTGGATTCCAAGTTTTTATTCAAACTTGTAATGTGTTTATGTTTAAGTGATAGACATGTGTCTAAAGCGTGTCCAAGTTCAGAAATTTTTTAAACAATAGTAGGACATGTCTAGATGTGTATCCGACAGGTGTTGGGAAGTGTCCAACACTGTGTTGGACACACAACACACCACCTTCTTAGAAATGCATGTCCGAGTTTAGAAATTTTTTAAAAATAGTAGGACACGTTTGGATGTGTATCCGACTAGTGTTGGGAAGTGTCCAACACTATGTTGAACACAACACACCACCTTCTTAGAAATGTTGTTGTTTTCATAGTTTATGGCAGTTTTAAGAATAGAATGGCAATACAAAGAGATAAATTCAAGCCCTTATTGATTGAAATCTTTGGAAAACTATGTATTGTATGACTGTTTATTTTGGCAAATCTTATTCTACTTTAAGATTGAATATCATGTTACTCACTGACCTTCAGCAACCCCGTTGTTAACATTATCAGGTGAGAGAAGATATGTGGGCTGAATTCATAGCTTGGCGGACTCTTCCACATGGACATCTAGGACATATATGTTGAGTCGCATGCATTTTCATTACATTTATTACTTTTCAAGGATGTTAGATTGTGTGGGTTGTTTATGTCCCACTTCACTTGTTATATTTTTGGGGATTGTTAGGGTTGTTTGTTTTATGGTATCACTGGATTCAGAATTGGATTTATTTAGAATGTTAGAGAACGATTCATTATTCTGTCAGGATGGAGAATTAAATAATTATTCCAATTTATGAGATTTTGGTATTTACTTTTTTGTAAATTTTGATTTTTAGGCTTACATGTGCCTTGGACTAAAGGCCTAATAGCCCCGGTTATGTGCTGGTTTGGGGTGTGACACTGACACCTACATCTAACCAACAAGGAAAACTCCCCCCAAAATAATGTCACAGTCGAAAACAAGTCCATAATCCCAGACATCAACCACTAGTGTAAACAAAAAGGGGGCCAAAGGATCTCCCTGCCTATAACCCCTCAAAGTTCTAAAAGTCTTCCCTGCCTTACCATTGACAACTATCAAAAGATTAGAAGATAAACATCCCAATATCCACCTCCTCCATCTCTCCCCAAAGCCATTTTTGTCCAAAACAAAATCCAAGAAGCGCTACTCCACATGATCATAGCATAGACCTTTTAAAAATCAGCTTTAAAACTTTCAACTTCCTTAGATCTGTAGTCCTCCAAAACCTCATTCGCTATTAATGAGACATCCAAAATCTATTGACCATCAAAAAGTAAAGCCCCTTGCGTAATGGAAACAGTATCTCCCAAAATTGCTCTCAATCTCTTAGACAAAACTTCAGCCAAAATCTTTTTTCTTTTTCCATTTTTTTTTTTTGGATAAATAAAACTTCGGCCAAAATCTTTCACAGTGAGGTAACCAAACTAACAGGATTGAGTTCCCAATTTTGAAAGAATTTCCCTTTTGAAGGATCAAACATATGTAAGTACCATTTGTGCACAAATTAACCATCATCAAATCAAATTTCCCAGAATCCAACCAATCTTGAAAAACTAAACCAAACCAGGTTTATGTCTCAATCTTGAAAAATTGCCATGGTAAATCCATCAGGACTGGGAGACTTGTCCCTCTCACAATCAAACCATCTTGTCCAATCTCCAATCATCAAATGGCCTTTCCAACCATCTAGATTTTTTATCTCCAATTGGACACCAATCTAACCCTTCAACTCTCTGTCATTGCACTCCTCCCAAAGTTAAACAGATGAATTACGTTGCCGACAACTCATTCAATAGCAAGGGTCCAACTTGGCTAGCCATAACTTATCAACAAACATCATCAAAGAAAGATCAAATCGTCACCCTCCCATCATAAATGCATGTCAAACTTGTAGAGCTGTCTAGGCCTTCCTTCCAACCACCTATAATCATTGTAAGTAACTGGAGGATACTACCTTTAAGTTTAAAGATTTCATTCAAATGGGTTTAGTTTTACACTTCATTAAAGTGTAATGAGTTATTAAAAAAAAATAAGGTGTGGCTTTTGATTGGTCATTGTTATGCCTCCCAACACTTTTACAAGTACCAGTAGATGGGTTATAGATTTTCCAATTTCTCACTTTGTGCTTGTCTTTAATTACATGTGCATATTTAGATTTCCCAACTCCCACTTTCTCATTATGCCTTCTCCCTACACTTTAACTGTGTGTGAATAATGCTATATACATTATCTTCATAAACTACATCATAAAGATTACTACTACAACATGGAGAGTAATAAAGATGACTCTTTTTGTTTTCAAACCCATAGTTCAGCCAAAGATTTGATGCAGAAGCTACAAGTAAACGAGTCAGAGGCGATGCTAGCATCCAAAATTGGAAGGGGTACACCCTGGGAGCACTAGATGACTGATCTATATTGTACCAATCAAGAGCACACACTACAAGAAGTTATGGCAGTTTGATTAGAGCAGCCACCCTAGCAGCAACAAATACTTATAGGAAAACTTGACCACGAGCAAATGATGCAGTATTTAAATTTGTTTTAGTAACATTCATAGCAATAGCTTTTCAAATGTACTGCTTTTTTTAAATAATTTTCATATTTATAGAGTTTCAATAAGGGTTTCGTAGTCCTAAGTTTTCTTTTTTCTTTTTTAGTGAAAAGAAGCTTTAGAACATCTGTATCTGTATTTATGATATATATATTTAACGTATCCCCGTACCCGTATCCAAATTTGGATACATATCCACGTATCTTTAATTTTTAATTTTGAAGTGTCCGACCCCTAGATACGCACCCACACCCGATCCTCGTACCCGCGTCCGTGTAACTTAGATAGAAACTCCACTTGATTGGGACAAAAGATTTAATTTGGTTTGATTTGAACGTTTATAAAATTGTGCTTAGAATTTTAAGATGCTCACACAGGCTTGTTGGCACCAAAAAAGTCAGTTACAAAGATGAATATATTTAAGAGGCATGTTCATAACAAGAACAAAGGAAAGACAAACCTGGTCTCTGATCTCCTCCCCAGCTTTCCGAATAAAAAGAGCCTCTGACTCTAATACTGGGAAATCAACCTCCTCAAATGCAAACATTTGCGAAACCTAAATTATGCAATAACCAATCAATATAAATATACCCATCATATATATATATATATATAAGTGTTTTTCCCTTTTCTTATGTGGCACATTCTTAATGCTTACTTTTTTTTCTAAAAAAAGCCATATCAGCATGACTTTTCCATTTACATATAAAGTTCTACATAAACTTAATTTCAATTATAATAACCAATTTTATATGGACTCTTTTTGAAAAATACTTCTATTCCATATATAATTATAATTTAATTATTATGATATTTGAAAAAAAAATTATACATATAAGCAGCGTTTTTCCCTTTCTTATGTGGCACATTCTAAAAGCTTACTTTTTTTCTATAAAAGCCACATCAACATGCCTTTTCCATTTACATATACAGTTTTACACAAACTCAATTTCAATCAGAATAACCAATTTCATATGGACTCTATTAGAGAAATATTTTTTTTCCGTATATAATTATAATTTAATTATTATGATATTTGAAGGAAAAAAAAATGAGTTAATTACCTAAAAGACCTAATTACAAATGTCATAGCTCAAGTCCTATTTGAACCAATAAGTCCTATTTAGTAAAACTGAAAATATTATCAGTTTTTTTTAATTTTTAAAACTAAGAATATTATTAATTTTGCATAGTAATGTTTTAGATAATTGTATCACTAACTGACGGAAAAAAAAAAAAAACAAACAAACAAACAAACAAACAAACAAACAAAACATGAGATTAAACGTTTTTGCCCTTCTACTTATTGGTTTGATTCAATTATCTAATAAAATCAAGAACATTAATAGTTTTTTCTAGTTTTAAAATTAAGAATATTATCAATTTTTTCATTTTTAAAGTTTTTTTTTTTCAGTTTTACACATCAATGTTCCATCATCATGCTCCTTTATAGACACAAAATTTTCAGTTTTGCACAAAAAAATAATTCAATCTTTTCACCAAAAAAAAAAAAAAATTTTTTTTTTTTGCACATAATTTTTTTTTTTGTTCAATTTGAAAGTTGATGTTTTACAATTTTGAAAATCAAAATAAATGTCAAATCATCATATTCCTTTATAGATAATCATAAATGATAAATAATTATTATTTGAACGATAATTCCGATAATCAAACACCACTTTACGCATAATTAAAGACCCGATGCGCCACTTTAGACATAACCAAAAATATAAGAAATTAGCAGACTTTTTCAATTAATAACCAAAATAATACACCATGAGTTATAACCAAGTCATAATTTGTATATTATAGAATTTTCCGTTGTTTTTATTTTTAATTTTTTTTGGAAAAAAATATTTTGATACAAATGGAATTTATGATTATTGATAAATTTGATTAACACAAATGAGGATGTGACTTCAGGTTGAAATTACACCTTTTTTTTTTAATTTTGAAAGAAATTATTTTTATGAGCCTTTTACATAGAATCACATATAGTGAGAAAAATTCTCATCAGCCATCAGCAAATCTGTTTGTATTTTGCTTTCAATTGTTAAAATTTTCTACACAAAGTATTGAGACTCAAAATCAATTTTTCATTTTAAAAATAAATTCTCGTGCATCGCATGGATCACCTACTAGTTATACACAGGAAGACACACAAGCTTTATATGATAAAATAATAAATAACATATTATCAAAACACATAATGCATACATACATAAACTTCTATAGACCTACACATCTATACTATCAATTTATAGTATTATACAAAGTCTACACCTAAGTTGGTGTAAGGGTAATTCTATTCGCACACCACGGAAAATTTCAGTACATATGATATTTATGTCGTTCAAATTTAAACTTCCAAACAAAAGTCAAATGTTTAGACAAAACTTATGAACAAAAAACAGTTGTTCAGATTTTTGTTTATAAGTATATGTTTGAACAATTAACTTTTATTCGGAAGTTTATATACGAACGACACAAATGGTGTACAAAGATTTCTTGTGGTGTGCGAATAGAATTTCCCTTGATGTAGAGTATCACATTTTTTGAGTTTCCCAAAATACCCTCATGTAACTACTTGCAGCTTCTTGCCTCATGTAATTGCTCTAGGTGGACACACTACTAGTATATATATACTATTTTATAAAGTCTAGACCTAAGTTTGTGTAGACTGCTACGTTTTTTTGAGTTCCCCAAAATACCCTCATCTAACTACTTGGAACTTCTTGCCTTGTGTAATTGCGCTGGGTGCACGCACTACTAGCATATATATATATAATAAACGCAAGCACACACAACATATTTGATAACTATGGCAGCTATTTGAGGCAGTTAGAGAGAATTAAAGCAATTTATGGCGGTTATCAAGTTTTGGAGGTATTCTTGGAAAAGAATTTACGTGATACTAGCAGCTGAGCACACGAGATGCATGTGCAAGTAGAAAAAAAGTTATGGAAAAACAATTTAAGGAAAAAAGTTATATTTGTGAAAATTATATAGTTGTCCAGACCTATTTGAAATAAAAATTATGGGGGATAAAAGTGTCAACACCATGCAAAAGACCTGAGTTGGTGTTGGCACCTTATGTAGTTGTCAACACCATGCAAATTATATAGTTGTCCAGTTTTTTTACTTTTCAAAATGACCCCAACTCTAGCAATTGCTCTAAACTTGTTCTCTTAGATCTAATTGCTTCAAAGCCATAGTTATCAGATGCTCTAGTACATACATGTACATACATTTATATATTCATACACATACACAATATTGTATAAAACTTATATATTTTATGGCATGAAAATATTATGAAATTGGTTCATACACATACATAATATTGTATAAAACTTATATATTTTGTGACATGAAAATATTATGAAATTGGTGTAAAGTAAATTAAAATTTGTAGAAAGTGTTTTTTTTTTCGTGTGACCTAATACATACAATACATTCACTCAAAATTATTTCAGAATAATAATAATAATAATAATAATAATAATAATAATAATAAAGAAATAGGTAACCTGTCGGAAGTTGTGGAAAAGCCAATTACGGAGGCGCATTTCGTCAGGAGGGAAGTCTCTGGTGCCTTTGGGAGGATTGACATCTATTTTCTTAACAACATCAACTGTTGAGGGAGGCGGAATAGAGATTGAGCCAGTCCTCCCAAACCGAACATTTTCATTGGACTTAGCTGTGGCATAAGAAGAAGAAGAAGAAGAAGAAGAAGAAGAAGAGGTTCTTAGGAGGGCGAGAGTTGTGAGTGTGCGAGTTCGACGACAGCAGAAAGAAAAGTGGCGGAGAGGGAAGGTGATGCCTGGGTTGAGGATAAGTAGTGAAGGATTTGCAGGCATAGTTTTGTATGGTTTGGTTTGGGGAGAGAGCAACACACAAACAGAGAGAGAGAGAGAGAGAGAGAGTTGATTGAATCGAACCAATTAACCTGTTTTCACTTAGGGCAACCTATTTACCCAGCAACAACACAAGAATGATCCATCTTCTGCACCAAAAAATGAGATAGTAAAATATTTATTTAACATCTACAAAACCAACAGGAAAGTGAACATTTTCAGTTGGTAAGCGTATTTAGGGATGTGCCTTGCATTGCTGAAAACTACATAAAAAGCAAATATGGGGGCTTGAATTGTTGAAATTACACATGCAAGACACACAAGAATATTAAGAGTGTTAACAATTTGAATATGGTGGAGATCAATGTGTTGCCAATATTGCCATTGTAATAATGCAATTTAACCATCTAGCCAGTACAGTAACTTATTATTGGGGCAAAGGATTGTAAAAATCAATGACTGCCAAACTAGGAGGCAACAAAGCTACGATGAAATCATACAATAATGTAGCAATACCATTATTGTAAATAAATCTATCTTCAATGCTGCTTTGTTTAGAAGTGAAAGGTACACAATAAATCATATCATTATGTATAAATTTTTTGTTTGTATAGCATTACTCTTTATTTTTTAATATCTACAAAACCAACAGGAATGTCAACATTTTCAGTTGACAAGTGTATGAAGGGAAGAGTCTCGTGTAGCTGAAAACTACATAAAAAGCAAAGATGGGGGCTTGAATTATTGAAATTTCACATGCAAGACACAAGAATATGAAGAGTTTTAACAATTTGGATATGGTGGAGATCAATATGTCACCAATATTGTCCTTGTAATAATGCAATTTAACCATCTAACCAGTACTGTAACTTATTATTAGGGCATAGGATTGAAGAATTCAATGACTGCCAAACTAGGAGGCAACAAAGATATGATGAAATCATGACAAAGTTCTAGATATCACGTCTCTTTATTCTTGTTTTTTTTTAGTTCTTGGAGTTTAAAAATTTAATAGACACTAGAAGAGAATAAACCATGGACAAAAGGACATACCCAATACAAAACCAGCTAGAGGTATATTTACCACAGGTGAGCTGGAGTGAATTCTTAAGTAGGGATGAACGCTCTTTCCATTCTTCTCCAGCACCAGAACATAAATAGCCACAACCTCTCTTAAACCACCCCCAATCAAGAATAATTACATTACGAAGAAATAAAAAAATCAAAAATCAAAAAAACATAACCCTTTTCTCTCCCCATCATTCTATACAATCGAATGGTCCAATTGTTTCACTAAACATCTAAAATATTACACTGACATTGTTTTACTCATTTAAATTAAGAAAATAGTTGACTCTAATGATTAGTGAATTATAAACTTGAAAAGCCCTAATATCTGAACATGCACCTGAAATTGAAAAGCCCTAATATCAAAACTCAAAACCCTAATATCTAAAGATGTACCTGAAATTGGGCGGTGGGAGGGAGAGGTGAGATAGCTGTGTTTGCTTTGTTCGCTGGTCTTCGTCGTCCGAAGGCCACAAACACTGCTCTTGGCGACCGAAGTCGTCACCGTTCACTGGTCTCCTTCGTCTCCAGCCATTAGTGTTGGTTGTTTTGATGTCAAGTATTAGGGTGTGAGGATAGTTATCTCATTTGTTTGTTTAGGCTCCGTTTGGTTAGCGTTTCAAATTATAGGCTCCGTTTGGTTAGTGTTTTAAATTATAATGGAGAGGTGAGATAGCTGTGTTTGCTTTGTTCGCTGGTCTTCGTCGTCCGAAGGCCACAAACACTGCTCTTGGCGACCGAAGTCGTCACCGTTCACTGGTCTCCTTCGTCTCCAGCCATTAGTGTTGGTCGTTTTGATGTCAAAGTATTAGTGTGTGTGAGGATAGTTATCTCATTTGTTTGTTTAGGCTCCGTTTGGTTAGCGTTTCAAATTATAGGCTCCGTTTGATTAGCGTTTTAAATTATAGTTTTACCTATTGATTTGAGTTTATTGTTTATTTATTAAAATTCAATTCAAAATATAATTATTAATTTTTAAAATTCATAACCAACTATATAATTCAAAAAAAAATTTCAAAACTCAATTCAAATCAATATTTTAATATTTTAAATATTTAAATATTTTTAAAATATTTTAATTTTGTTAAGATTTTTAAAATGTTACGATTTTTTAATTTTTAAATTTTTTTTAATTTTTTGAATATTTTTAAATATTTTAATTTTAAAATATTACGATTTTAATTTTTTAAATTTTAAAATATTTTATAAAAATAAATTCAAACTCTATTTTATAAACATTTTAAATTATTTAAATTTTTTGAATATTTAAATTATTTAAATTTTTACGATTTAAATTTTTTTGAATATTTATTTTAATTTTTTACTTATTAAATTTTTTAGATTATTTAAATTATATAAATATTTATGATTTAAATTTTTTGAATATTTATTTTGAAAAAAAAAATTTATTTGCTTTGTAGTATTTTCAATTAAAAAATTGATTAATGTTATTTTCTGTTAATAATAAATTTTTTTAATTGAATTTTAAAAAGAGTTTGATTATGAGTATTGACCAGAATTTTTAATAGTGTAAAAGTAGTGTGTTTTGTTATGAGTTATAACAATTTGAATTAAGTTTTGAAAATTCTTTCCAAAACTCAAAACCAAACAAATTTTCTTACTTCACATGTCAAATCAAACTTTCAAAACTCAATTCAACACTCTCTTCAAAAACCATAACCAAACAAATTTTCTACACTCAAATCATAGTTCCACAACTCATAAACTCAAAATACAACTCATACTCTCAAATCATATTTACAAAACTCAACCAAACGCAACCTTAGTCTTTCATTATAATTATAAATATGTGTAACCTAATATGTTTAAGGGTAAGATCTATGAAGCACAGACACCTCTCAAACACTGAGAGCTCCGTACCAGGGTCGGACACGGACGCGCATTGGACACGCGGTGGACACGTGTCCGACACGCAGCAGAGAGTGTCCCATTTTTTTTTATTTTCTTTTTACATCTGAACACATTCAGAACACGTTATAGACACTTTCAGGACACGTTCGGGGGTAATTTCACAATTTACAAAAAAAAAATTGGGGTCGACTTGTAAATAAGTAAAAACAGATCAATATCTGCCCTAATCTACTTCGATTAAAACAGAAACATAAGAAAAAGGGTGAGAAAGAGAGGACCTAGTCAATTCGTCGTTCGTCGTTCGTCGTTTGTCTTCGCTCTTCGTCGGTTGTCACTTGTCACTCGTGTCTCGTCGTCGCTCATTAAGGAACACGCTGCTCTTCTTCTTCGATCTTCATTCTTCTTCTTCTTCTTCGATCTTCATTCTTCTTCGTCTTTCCCTCAATCACTCTCTCTCTCTCTCAACCTCTTGTCTGATCTTCTTTCCTCAGTCGCTGTCTCTCTCTCTCTCTCTCAGCCTCTGATTTTATTTTATTTTTCCCGTTATATTCTGATTTATTTCTTATTTTATTTTATTTTTTCTTTTCTATTACTTGAGTATATAATTTTAATAATGTAAGTCTGTTAATTTTATTATAGGAACAAATTTCTAATTCTGAAACAATGGCTATGGGCGGTAGTTTTAATGATGTACCTGATGATGATTTTAATGAGAACAAACCATTGTGGAAGTATATAACTAAATTAGCAAAACCTGGGGAAGGAGGAGATAGCTTTGACTCACTTGATGATATTGGAATGTTTGGGATAGCTAACCTCTCACTTGATGAACCGGCTATAGAGGCGGTCCTATTTACAGATGAAGAGAAGATGGAGGCGGTGGTGAAGATGTTGTAATAGTTTCCTCTACTTAGGTTTACATTTTTTGATATTTATGGATTTTGTAATAGTTGTTGGTACATTGGATAATTTTATATTTTGTGGTTTGATTTTCATGCATTTTGTAACAAATGATGGTTGGTAGCTTCCAATGACATGTTATGTACTAATGGAATGCAATTTTATGTTATTTGTGAATGATATATATGATGTTAAGTCAATTAAATGTTTATTTTTTATGATTTTAATAGTATTATTTTGTATATTTTATTACCTTTTAATGATTTTTTTTATAATTTTATGACATATAATAAATAAAATTAATTATATATATTGAACGTCTCCCCAGCGTGTCGTGTCCCCCATTTTTTGGAAATTTATGTCCGCGTGTCCGTGTCGTGTCGCGTGTCCGTGTCCGTGCTTCATAGGGTAAGCTAATAAACACAGTAAACTGAGCAGTCTTTTGGTTCTTCCCTTCTTCCTATTGTTCTTTTTCGTTTCATATGTAAATCTAACATCTAACATGGTATCAGAGCCACATCTTCCTCCTTAAAGATTGTGGTCTTTCCTTGTTACTCTTTTTCTTCGTTTTTCTGCACCAAAAAAAAATTCCTCCAGACTCAAAATTTTATGGGCTTCTTCTCCATGATTTTCTTTTAATTTTTTGGTAATTATTTGGTGGTGTTTCCAATTTTTGTAGATATTTTAGGAAAAAAAATGGTTATTTTTCGGAAGCCACTGCTAGAGCCCTTTTAAGGCTGTTTCTTCTCTTCCTTCCCTTTCCTTGGGAGCCAACTAGATCATTAGAGGAGGCTAGAGTCACTGTTTTGAAGAATTGGCGAGGTTTCTCTCAATGTTTGTTCATTTTTTTGCTTTCCTGACTTGTTTTTGGCTCTGTAAAGGTATATTTCTGGTCCTTTGTTGAGGTTTTGGCACTATTATTGGTTTCCTGGACTGTTATTTATTTTGGGGATTACTTTTCAATTGCTGGAATTGAGGATAAAGACCCTAGGGTTAGTGAAGAGGGCAGCGTGCATCGTGTTATGACTCTTAGTGATAGTCCATCTCTCCAAATCAGTCATGTGAAACTTGATGGCTCCAATTATCTAATTTGGTCCTGTTCTTGTAGCCTTGCTATTGCTGCTCACCGTTTGACTAGCCACATTACCGGTGACCTTCCCCAGCCTACTACTGATGTCGCTTCGCGTACTTAGTGGGTTTCTAAGAACGCTTTGGTTATGACCTGGCTCATTAACTCTATGCAACCTACTATCAGTCGGTCCTTTCTTCTCTTAGATACTGCTCATAAGATTTGGATAGCTGCAGCCCAGATGTACTCCTAACAAGATAATGATGAACAAGCATATGAGTTGAGGAAGAAACTTCGGAGCTTAGATCAGAAGGATAGATCACTCGCAGTGTACTATGTTGAGTAGTTTGTGGCAGAAACTAGACTATTACCAAAGCTTCTAAGCTATTTGTTCTCGAGATGCCACTTTGTTTCAGCAAACCGTGAAGAAGGAGCACGTGTATGACTTTCTTGTTGGCTTGAACTTGGAATATGATCAGATTCGCATCCAGGTGTTGAGTCGTTCACCTTTTCCCACCCTCCGTGTGGCTTATGCCTTTGTCCAACATGCGGAGAGTCGATGTAGTGCTATGGTTTATTCCTCTATTCAGGATCGTTCTGCTTTGGTTATTGCTCCTCCAACTCGAGCTCCTCGACCTAGTCCGGTTCAGTTTGGTACTCAGGGTACATTGGTTGATCAAGATCGATTGAAGTGTGATTATTGTGGGAAAGATAGACATGATCAAGAGCATTATTGGAAACTGAATAGTCGCCCTACTCGGGGTCGGGGTCGTGGTAGTACAGCTCGTCTCCAAGCACACGTGTCTCAGATTGCTGCGAGTCCTTCTTCTAAGACTGGCATTCTTTCCCAAGATGAGTTACACACTCTTAGGCGTTTCATGGCTCGACTTGATTCTCCTTCTACCATAGCTTCTTCCACTCCAGCTTCTTCCAATTTTGCCCACGCAGGTATTCCGGCTAGTGCTCTTAGTACCTCCTCATCGCCTTCTTGGATTATTGATTCAAGTGCCACCGACCACATGACAGGTGCCTCTATTCTTTTCTATTCTTATTCTCCTTATTCCGGCCGAGACAAGGTTCAAGTGGCTGATGGCACTTTATCCTCTATCTCCGGCAAGGGTTCGATTCATTGTTCCTCTTCACTGTCTCTTTCCTCTGTACTTCATGTTCCTAATTTTTTCACTAACCTGTTTTCTGTTAGTAGTCTTATTACTTCTCTAAATTGCTCAGTGACCTTTTTTCCTACTCAGTGTGTCTTTCAGGAACTGGCTACGGGGAAAACGATTGGCAATGGTAGAGCACAAGATGGACTATACTTTCTGGATGTCGTTCCTCCTGCTGTTCCATCTCAGGCTCTCAAGTGCACTAATGGCTCATCTCCTTCATCAGTGGCATCGCCGTTTGGGTCATCTTTCTTTTAGTGTTTTAGAGAAACTTTTTCCCTCTTTAGTTCGTGATTATCCTAGGAGTATTTTTGGTTGTGATGCATGTGAACTTGCAAAGCATAAACGTACTTGTTACCCTTCAATTAATAAAAGAAGTACTTTTCCTTTTATGCTTATTCATACCGATCTGTGGGACCCTTCCCCTGTGGTTTCTACTTCTGGGTATCGATGGTTTGTTACATTTATTGATTGTTATTCCCGTGTGACTTGAATTTACTTGCTTCGAACTAAGAGTGAAGTTTTTTCTTATTTCCAAACTTTTCATAAAATTGTGACCAATCTTTTTAATG